ACAAACAGAATTGGACAAGTTAAGGAGAAGGGGAGCAAAGGTGATCAAAGGCACAGGACAGCTTCTGTAAGAGGGGACATGAGTCATCCTCGTGCAACAGGAGAAACTAAGGAGGAATAGGAAAAGGATGCCTATAAATTCAAGGTTTATAAAATCAGAAATCACTTCCTTTTTTTTCACAAGTGATCCAATGAACCCAGTTTTGAGGGAACAGGCTTACAATATAGAAAGGAAATTCTTTTGTACTTAGCACATAGTAAAATTTTGATGTTCCCTTTTTAAGGGTATGGGGTGAATAAGATGAATCACCTCATGGTGAAGTGGAAGCCAAACCAGGTAATTCCCACTCTAAAAATGCTCTGTTTTCCTTTATTGACCACAAAGGAAGCTTATGATGAACCCATCATAAGCGGTGGTTTGTAGAAGTCCATGAAAAGCTGCTGAGAAGCTGGTTAAGCTGAATCCCACCTGTGCTATATACTGCTAATGATGGTAGCAACATACCTCTATCTTTGAGTAGTGTGACCAAAGCCACTGAAGGAAAATCTGGGGCAGGGCAGGACATCAGCCAAATAGCCCAAACCTTACTAAGTCTGAATTCCACATTGAATCTTTTATCTGTATTGCTGATTTACCTGCACGTGGGGGTTTAAATGGTGCACTCTCAAGGGGAGAAATTAATTTTTGACCTAAGAAAAACTTCCCCAAGGACTCAGTTGTTTCAAGCACACTGTGCTTTAAAGTTCCTATGTGTAGGCCAAGACTAAACCCAGCCTACTTGCTACCCCTCCCTGTGGGTGTGCAGTTCTTTGCTCTGCATCCAAAACAGGAATACCAGTCCCATCAGCACTTGTTTTACAGCTTTGTGCACCTGTGCAGTGTGAGGCCAGAGCAGCACTGCCTGCGTGAATGAATGAATGAATGAATGAATGAATGAATGAATGAATGAATGAATGATGCACAACTGATGGCTTTGGGTTCACCTAGAAGATTCACAATGCTCCAGTAGTTATACAGTTAAACACATTTCTTCTTTTGTTCTCCATATGATGTTACCAGTTTTCAGAAAGCTGTCTTGGAGATGAAAGACCTCCTAAATTACACCAACAGGAAAATAGCTGTAATGGTGCATATATTTTGCTTCCAAGATGAAAGTCACCTTCTCACACTGAGAAAGGCAGACATACTAAAACATGCAACTACATAAACAAGGTTAAAGAATGTAAAATTTGATTCTTCTGATGGGAAGGAAGCGAGCTGGACCAGGGTCACTTAACATTTCTGTTTACATTTTTCTAGTGATTTCCAGGTAAGTGGCACACATATTTTAAGTCTTCTTCAAAACACTAGTGAAATTTTAACACATTGCACAGGGCCATGAAAACTGCTATGCCAGGACTACCTAAACCCAGACTGCTCTGACAGCTAACAGGAGGTATTTCATGGGAAGATATAAACCCTTATAAAATGGACAGTGCTTATGGGAAAATGACTTCCTATGCCCCAGGAAAAAGACCCTTTATTGAATTCTGTGTTTGTGTGGTAACCTTATACTTTATTCCTCTTATTTAATATAAGTGAGAAGTTTGCATTACCTGTTCAAATACTCCTATGAACTTCTACTATTTTAAATCCTTGGCCATTTTGTGATTGTCTAATCCACCAGCCTTTCCTTCCCAAAAACATTTTCCTGCCTTTAATTTTCCTGAAAGCAGGTAGCATTTAATCTGTTAACTTGTACACTCTATGACACGGGCTCTAGGTGATTTTTTTCCATTTCCTGGCAGTACAAGGAGGGTCCCTGTAACTTAGTGATTCTTTTGCCTGCTTCACTTTCGGCCTGAACACAGGAACCCACCTCAATCAAAATCCTGTAAGGTGCAGTATTACAGGCCACACACCTGAGCCAGAGCTGGCTGAAATCTCTTTTCAGAGCAGATGAAATGTGCATATCCAAGCCATCAGCAGGGCACTTGTGCTGCTCCCTGTGAGCCCCCTGTTCCCACCTCGGATTGTCAGACCCCACCCCCCCAGCAAGACCCATCCCCCCAAAATAAAAGCAAAGCACCAGCTGTTAATGCTGTATTCACAATACCATACTCCACAGACAACGTGACTTTATTCACAAATATGATTTTTACAGAGGTAGAACAAAATACTTTGTATAATCTTTTTTTTTTTTTAACTATATACATATAAAGAATATAATAGAATGACAAGAAAGAAAAGGTTGTAAACAAAACAATATTATGCCATCAAATACAGTACAAACAGCATGCATGAACAGCTTCAAATGAAATCTTGCTGGTGTAACTTTATTTTTTTTCTCATGTGGTAAATGAAGAGCAGTAAAGAGTCATGCTCTAATTGGATTGAATATGCCACAGCTCTGCAATTTTGTTTTAATTATTTTTTTTCTTTCTTTTACAATAAACCAACAGGATCACTTTCTTTTCACTGTGGTGGGGAATGCTTTTGTAATGCCCAATGTAATATTAACAGAAAAATATAATAATCAAATCTACAAAGTGTACTCTCATTTAAAAAGCAAAACCATAGAAACTGTACAGTTTTAAAAAGCGAATTATCGCAAATGCTTCTTAAGAGAATTTTCTAAAGAAAGAATAAAATATGCAGAATAAAAATGAGGAGAGCTATTGTTCTGTAACAAAGCTAATCAAATACTTGTTTTCTGTTCCAATAAACAGTTTTTTTAATTAATGACTATTCTGGAAACTATGAAGTGGGCCAGGTTTTATTAATGTTCCACTTGACTAATAAAGCATGAACTCCTTACAGGTACTATAGCTGTCATTCCCCTGGGAATGGATGGGGATTGATTCTGCATGCATGCTGGAGACAGGGACAAGGTTTAGTCATGGGTGTAGATTCTAAAAATATTTTGAAATGTGTTAAACATTTAGTAGCTTATATAAAAATAATCTGGCTTGTTTTGCTACTGGATTGGGACTTAGATTTGTGATTTTCTGCTGAAATTCATTCCTGGCCAAGGACTTCCACTGGGATGGGTGTTACCTGGGCTGCAGCAGGTCCCACAGCTGTGGCCAACAGCAATGGTTACAGCTCACATCTGAACACCTGAAGCCAACAGTAAACCCCACACTGTTGTTCAGCCCTGTGCCTTAGGCTGAACCTTGAGCATCTGGGATCTGAGGAATTCAGACTTAGTATGGGGAATGGTGCTGTCCTGCCTCTCCATTCCTCTAAGTCCCAGCCCATGTCATGGGAAGGGCAAAGGCTGGAGAGAGCAACTGTGCTTTTATTCTTGCGACATATCAACTCTGGTGACAACCACCTTTCTGTCCCTCCTGTCTGGACACACTGACTGCATCAGCAGGGGTCTGATCAGGTCCCTGCTCAGGGACAGCAGCTGTGTGCTGCCTGTGGGAAAACAGGGATTTCTGCCTCTGACCAGTGAGGAGCAGTGGGGTTAAACTGCCTTCCTGCAGGTCGCCCCCTAAAACATCATTTAAAGATTCAACCACACAAACAAAACCCATACACACCGTTTGTCTTTGTCAAGAATGTGAGCATGTCCAATATTAAACACATGCTGTTTGTGGCCAGGAGTCATGTGCCAGCCCCAGCTTCAATCACAACGAGTTTACTAAAGATCAGCAGAAAATTGAACAGAGAAGGATGGGTCTCATTGACTTTGAACTCTCAGGTGATCCCTGCTTCTGGCAGAAGCTCAACTCAACCTGACAGTGACATGGGGTGCATCCCATGTCCAGTGCAAGTGACTGGGGGTTGGCCTGAATAACATCCTTCACCAGACCACAAAGATTAAATTAACTGCAGTGAAAAGAAATACCTGCCCTGTATGGCAAATCCATCTCTGTGGCTTCATCCATGGCTTTGGCATCTTCCTGGGAAATGGATAGTCAGACCCCTTTAGCAACTGAACCCTGCATTTCACTAATTGACCCTGCAGCAGATTATCACCCCCAGAAGCATGGTATTTATTGAGAGGTGTGAACAGTGTGCTATGCACAGATGAAATATTCTGTGTGGTTTTTTACAGTCAACAGAATAAGCCTTGCACCTCTTTGTGGAAGAACTGTACGAAACATGGCTGAAATAACAAGATTGTCAATGATGGTCAGTGGGAGATACTCTAAACCTCTGAGTAAGACTGCATTTTTCTGTTGTGTAAACTGCTGTACAAGGATGAATAAAACAATACATTCCTGCCCCATTAGCCTTGGGGAAGATTAATGCCCTCTAATCTATGCTAAATAAACTCTGAAGCATGAAGTCCCACACTCAGCTGCTTGTGAATTAATAGGGATCACCCTGAAATTGCTATTATGAAATGCTAATATTTGCAAAAGAACAATTAAAAAATATTCCTGAAGTGCAACGAAAGGCTCGTCAGTCATGTTTGTGGTATGCAGAGGGACAGTCAGGAGGCAAACACTAATGAATCCCAGGGCAGAAATCTGTGGTAAAACCCCATTAGCCCATTGGAGTGGGTGATGGCACAGCATCTCACACTGGGAAATCATTCCAACCAGTAATCAGAGAGCTTGGCGTAAGATGCCCCAGTTTTGATTCTTTGGACAGTTTGTTTGCATACAACTACCTGTATTTTCAAAAAGCTGCAGTACGTGGCTCACAGTAAATCTACTTCAAACACTTGCTGATACAGCTCAAACTGATCTCATCTGCCCTGATCTGCAATTTTGTGTTAGCTAAAGTAATAAAAGAATCCTGTTAAACCTAAATTATCAAATGAAAAAGGCAATTTTCTCATTTATACTCCATTAGTTTTTTTAGTTATTGCTAGGAAAGCTCTAAAATGCTTAGGCCATAAAATAAACATGTGGCTTAATGTACAGTATGTGTACTTAAGAGGATGATGGCATCTGCAGTAACTGCTCTGCACTGCTATAGTAATGGGATGCACAAATTTTGCAACAGCATATATCAAGTAAAGCATACAAAAATGTATGGCAAAAAGTAACAAGCATTCTGCTTTTTCTTTTTTTTTTTCCTTTTTTTTAGTAACTCTTTAGTTGCTAAAAAGAAGAAATCACCAATATCCACACCTACAACACAGAATTGCAACATGGTTGATTTTGATTGATGCTCATCACCTCTGTGCCAGCAAAACTGTGTGATACTGTTGTTTTTAACATTTCACTGATAAGAAGTTTATAAAAGCTCCCGCTCCCAAATTAAATTCAATGACATATTTTCCATTGTTGAAGTCAAACAATTAGCCTAATATGGTTTCAAGCACACAACACTCATTAGATTTTGGGAAAAAAGCATCCCCGATTCTTAAGTCACAGAGATGTAGGATAGCATATGAAAAAGCATCCAAATATTCACTTTTGAAAATGAAATTAATAGCCTAGATCACTTAGGTACCTTCAATATTTATACTCTCAGGCCCTTCACTCAAACATTTCAGAGTACTTTCTATTAATAATGTAAATTCCTTTAGAAGAGTACCACAACTAAACCTGTGAAATCACAGAAGCAAGATTGCATATCCAAACCATTTACAGACATATTTTAGTATCACTTTGCAACAGTAGGCATTAGGCTTTTGAGAACACATGAATCTCTGAAATTCAATCTTTGTGCTGCTTTACCCCTTCATGCTCAGTTCAAATAGGTGTCCTGCAGAACAAGAAATGAGCAGAGCCTCTGCAGAGAGCTGCAACAAATGCCTGGATCAGACAAACTCAATGAGAGTCATAAAATGCAGATTGAAGATTTCTTCTTCAGACAGGCTTTTACAGAAATATACTTTCCTGGCTAAAAAGGATGGCACAGTGGAGCTTTACAGAGGGAAATGCAAAGATATAAAGGGGAGAATCCCATTTTCTTCCTCAGTAATCCCATAAAACCAACAATCTCTTTTCATAACAGCTCTGGACAATTACCTGACTGCTGACAGGACCTTTCCCATCACCTGAGGAGAGCGCATGCTCTCCTTTTCTGTGCTGTCAGTGCCAGATATATGGTCAGAGTTGTGCTCATTATCCCTTCAATTCCCATTAATGTGACCAACATGTTTTCTCCCCAGTTGCAACAACCATGCAAGCCTCTTTTACTCATAGTTCAGATTTTCTTCCTCTCATGGCACAAAGCTGAAAAGTAAACAACAGTTAAGAAAACATTTGCTTGCCAAAGCCTGGCATGAGAAGGTGCAAGCTCTCCTTGCCAGAGCCTGGACCTGTGTTTGCTCACACCCCCCAGCACTGTTTCATGCTCGAGCTTGGCACAGTACAGGATCAATCACCATCCTCTTCAGGCCCTCACTCTTATTCAGCCTTTAGGAAGTTACAAAATAGAACACTGTTTTCTGAGACGATATTGACTGCACTAATTACCCACAATATTGTATATTTGCTATTAAGAACATGGATGTGTGCTTTCAAAGAGTGACATTCAGGGCTTCAAGGATGTGGGAGGAATTAGATGTGTTGTTCTGTCACTTAATCCGAGGCTTTGATGTACTTTAAAAATTTTGTTTAAAACCCCAAAAAACAGAATACATATTTTAACTGTTGAACTTTTACCAGCTAAAGGAGTTTGTAAGGACCCTATCACTATGTGGTTACAACAGAAGATACACAGTTAAGGTCAGGTCACGGTTTCCAAGAACATTCACAGGGACTGAGGATGAGGAGAACGAGGGATGGATTCTGCGGGAACCTTCGGGAGTCTGAGCTGCTCACTGGGGAAGGGCCTTGAGTATTGCATTCACTTCCTCTGCCACCGCTGTCAAAGCAAACTCAAACTGCTCCTGCAGAGAGAACAAACACACACCCTGAATAATAAAACAAAACACTTTCCAGAAAGCCTAGTGCTCTATTCTGCTGCTGAACGTCCTCAATACATTGTTAAAAATATGAATATGCAGGATTAACTGTACACTGCAATGGAAAGGAACAAAATGTTCTGGGATTATTGATGTCATATAACATGTTTGACAGCATCTTGAAGCCAGAGTCATTTTAATGGAGAAAAATGTTAGTAGCAGAACCCAAGCTATCGGGACACGATGATATATTGCCATTGCATGGTCAGAAGGGCTTGGGAGTCACTGATCACCAGCCATTTCCCTCTGACACAGAAATGGGAACATTATTGAAATATGAAGTAAGTGAGATGCTGTAAAGCAGAGACTTTGGCTTTTCTCAGGACTGTTTCTAGTTGAAAGGATCTAAAATAAGTATCTCCTCCCCTGATATCTATTATACAGAACAATATCTGCTTTTTGGCTTACCTGTCACTGATCTTTTTAAGCCTCTCTCTTTAATGTCCTTCCCACACTCACAAATTACTCAATTTTGTTAAGACCACTCCTATATAAGAAATATTTGAGAAGGCTTTTCTCTGCTATTAATTTACTGTAACCTCAGCACCAAAATGATTTACAAGCTTCTGTGCTGGGTTGGCAGAGGTGTGAAGGACACAGCCATGAACTCTAAGAGCAACCCTAGCACACTCCTGAACTGTGCAGTCCTACAGAAGGACAAAGCAGTTTTAAAGTTAACCTCAAGGTTAACAGGTGCTATATTTTCCAAGCAAGAAATTTTTTTCTCTGTAATTTAGCTTACTGAAATAACTGACAGGGTGATTTGGAGTTTGAGACTTTTCAGTAGAAAGTTTTCTCAAAATGCAGGCAAATCAAAGACCGGGTAAGAACTGTGGAAAAACTCCTGGATTTTCTGGAAGTACTCCAGAGGTTTAAGGCAGCTGGGGTCAAGAGCTGCTGAGGAATTGACTCCGAGGATGCAGGTTTGAGATGCACCCTGCAAAGCATCCCAAGATCACTGCTGGGATACTGTCTGTGTCTCCCATTAGGAAATTGGTGGTCTGTACCTCCAGCCCCTCAGCTGGTGCTGCCAGGGGCGCTGTGGGATGTTTACAGAACACAAACACCCCCAAAACCAGTAACATTAATTTTCCACGGTGTTTCATTTAACTGCAGAAATGAACAGGAAGGATGAAAGAACAAACTACAGATGTACAACTCGTAGTTCAGAAAGGCAGCTGACTTTTAATTCCTGCAATCCAGTGCCAGTCTTCTCTGCCTTGCCTTACCCGACTGCAGTCAGCTCCCATGTGGAGATGCTTCAGAGAAGCAATGATGGGCACTGTGCCAGGGCAGAAAAAGCAGAACAAAACTCAGAATAATTTCTCAGCGACACTGCCATTCAAGAATTTTGCTGTCTGCTTGGTGCTGTCAAAGTGGCATCCATGTACACTTGCTGGACTGCAGCCAACAGCTTTTAATCAGACATCAATTCACCCTAAAGAGTAGGACTCATCCCTAGTAGGCACTGAACATGGTGTGCATGACTGCCTAAGGCTCCCTGCACTGTCTAAGGTCTCTGCAATTAAAGGAAACACTGGGAATGCTGGGGGCCATCCAGGAGCATCAGTTGTATTTTAACTGGAGCACAATGAGTGTGTGAGAGAAGCTGGAGAGCAGCTGGGTCAGAGAGGGCATATATGGGACATGCTGGGACAGAACCAAACTGGGTGCTTGTACCAGCTCAAAAAGCCTGAGGAAGAGTATCTGCTTCTCCCTGGGACTGAGCAACAGGAGGTGTGACCTTAATAACTGAGGCAAAACAATTTACAGAGCATAATCTGCACAGCCAGAGCTCAAAACTGACTGCAGTAAAGGGGATGGGAGAGCAGACACAAGATGTGTGGGGACATGGCCTGTCAGGGATGGTGCAGCTGAGCTCTTCCCCCTCCATCTTTCTGCATAACACACCCAGATGAAAGGCAAGGAGATCAGATGCACCGATGTGCATCAGCACCCCCCCAGGAAAAGCCCTCCCACACCTTCCACACTTCTCCATGAGGACAACTGAAAAGTTAGAGCAAATTAATGTCAGTAATTTTTAAAAGGAGCTTGGTTTGTTGTTTTGTACTGCTACACTGCCATTCACATATTCTATTTGCAGATGCAAGGCTGCCTAGAGATGAATTTTAACATCTAGCTTTGCCTAGAAAACAGAGCTGGTCAGACATTCTCTGATGTCAGGTTACCTATAATGCAGAGGTGACAAGAATATACTTAATGAAAAAAATAACCATTGCTATGTTTCATTAAGTCTACAGATAAAAATTCCCTGGAAAACAAAGTGAGTTTATCTAGGATATATAACACAGTAAGGAATCTATCTACCATTATAGATTGTGAGAGGATATAGGAGACAGGAAAAAAAAGGAAATATATATTTTTCCCATCACAGAGAATATACTTCCTCCTTCATTACTTTTTCTTCTCACATGTGACATATCAATTCTATTTTACGATTCCCCTGCAAAAAAAAATCCAACAAACCCACAAACCGCTATTAGGCTTCTCAGAAATGCAGAATGTCGTTATGATAATTTCATTACAATTTATTATATACAGTGCTTTTGAATTAAAGATCTCTTCCAGAAGACAAAATGCTGCAAACAAATCTTTCCCATGCCTCTTGGAAAGGTGGAGCGCTGCCTGCTGGAAACACAATAACATTGCTGAAGGAAGTTGGTGTTTATTTTGCCTAGGGATATTCTGTAATTGGCATTTCTAACCTGACTTTTAATCCATCGTTTTAAATTACTTCAAGAGTCTAATATTCCTCATTTGTATTCAGTTGGGAAAGCACAGGGGTTTGTTTAAATCCATCAGAAAAAATCTCTGGGGATCGTGCATTGCTAGCATATAACCAGATATTTATAATTTGCAAGACATTAGCTTGAATAAGTGAATTGGGTGGTTTTGAGAAAATGACAATGACGGAAGAAGGAGCAAGAGGAGAGATAAGCAACATCCTGGGAAAATTTTTCATCCTGAATGAAAACACAGGATGCATTTGTTTTCTGGAGCTCTTCCAGACAAATGTTTAGAGGGAAAAAACATGTCTTGAGGGAGATTTTCACGGAACTCAGGTAACTATTGCTGAGCTAAGTAGGAGAAGTTGTTCACATAACCTCATTCTTTGGTTCTGGAGTGATGTTTTATCCTTCTGTTGAAGGCAACAAGCCATCATTTCTCTGCCCTGAAAAGGAAACTGGAATCTGAGCTCTATGTTGCCACAGAGCTGCTTTTTGAATGCGTTTACGGAGTAGTCCAAAATTCGCATCTTACCTCAGAGTAAATACAAATGACATTGGATACTGTGTGCTATTTGCCTTTTTTTTTCCAGTCTGAATAATCAAAGCAGAAGAAAGACTTGTGCAGTTTTATGTCTTCCTTGCAGATAAAGATTAATTTTGACTGGTTCATCTTTATTTTTCATGCTCTTACTTAATTGGTAAATAATAATTAACATTCCCCAAGCTGTTCTTCAGCAGTATTTTCCCCTAGTATTAATGGGAAATAGCATGATTGAGAAGAGATTCAGGAAAAAATTATGAACCTATGATTCCTGCAACACATATTTATTTCACCTTTTCCCCTCAGCAATTTCAACTCCCTAAACACTGCAGAATTTCCTATCAGTTCCAGCCTGGCCAAGAGACAGTGCTGTCACATTGCTCTTGTTACTCAGTTTGAAATTATAACTATCTTTTGTTATTTTATAAGGCCATAAACAGATTTATTTCACCTCCATACCATGAAAGAGTTTCTTTATTGTCATATTTGCAGCTCTTAACCTGCAGCACATATCCCAGAATATCATTCTATACATCACTGGAATTGTTAATAACAGAAAGTTTAATTTCTAATTTAAGGGACTAGAATTACACCATCAGCTACTATGTTTAGAAGTTTTACATTGTGGAAAAATGTCAAAACTATTACAACTGACAGGAATTTGAGAGTATGGCATTCATCTCACCAAAGTATAAGAATATAGTTACCATTTTACATCCATAAAGGCTGCAGGCATGATGCAAGCTCTTCCATTCAAAGATACTAAAAATTACTTGATTCCCTGCAAAACTTTATTTCCTTTAATTCAAAACTTTTGGGTTCTTTTTTCCAGGAAAAAGTATCAAATGCAGCAGTTACATTCTCTTTAATGAGTAGAAGCTTTAAAAAAAATATTACATGCACAGTTTAGCACAGATACTCTAAGAAAATAATCCATAGTTGAGGATGAAAGCAAGAACATTTTTTCAAATGCACATTTTCTTTAGCAGGCTATAGATTGTTGTCTTGACTGCCCTTCATATATGGTAATCAAGATAGATGTTGGAGATGTTACAAGAAAGAACAGTAAACACCAAAGAAAGTAACCTAGATAAATCTTCAGCATAAATAAACCTCAGTTGGTAGGGAGCCAAACAGAGTAATCAGCAAGCGACCTGCGTTAAATTAGGTCATACCCTCTCTCTTCTGTCATGAAAACAACTACTGTGAAAGACCTTTAATGTATTTAAAATCCCAGTGGATTTATTGACAGTACCTTTGTCTGGACCATGCCTGGTCTCTGGTCCCTCAAGTGCTCCAGGGTAGCAGCAATATCAATCTCTTTAGCACCTGCAACAAACCACAAATTGGGCTGAGTTCAGAGCACAAGATAATCCATGCTGCATCTGTCAATCTCTTGCTATCGGGTTCCCTTTGGGCTAACAGTCCAATTGAAAATTATTACATCCATCTCTCAGCAGACTAGGCAGGCAGCTGCAATTTTTGTCTTCATATAGAAAAATAAGAGGTTGGGGCACCTTTTACTAACATTAATTCAAGAGAAGCCAGAGAAAAACAAATTCTTAAAAATGTCTCTGCACCTAGAGCAGAATATATTCTGTGGAACCTGAGTGTATGTCACGGCAATGCCACTGAGCATCCCTCTGTCACTCCTAAGAGTATGCACTGAATTAAGGGCCCGAACCACACAGAGATTAATGCTGTAAAAACAAGACTTAGGTGACCTTTTGTCAACTGCAGCTGACATCCAGAAAGCCTGTCTGTGGCTTCCTGGTTCAGAACCTGTCAGACCACCTTGCTGTGTGGTCACAGTTTCACCTGGCCAGTCTATGGCACTTTCTTTAGGTTCTTCTCCAGGTGTCTGGACATGGCTGCCCTGTAGCTGTCAGCAGCACCAGGGCACGCCTCTTCCCTTTCTTATAATCCACAAAGACTAGAGAACTGAAGGGGACAGGAAGATGCTGATTTCCTCCTCAATTTCCTTCAGTGACTGCTATTTCAAACTACCTTCTTAATTTTCCTTAACTGCCTAATCTGATGTTTTATGAAGGGATTGAGAAGGAAGTGGGATTCTGGTCCTGCAGAATTTGGCTTTCTTGTACCTGCTCCCTTCTGCATCTTGTGGGAACATCTCATGGTACCAAAGTACCAGGCAGATCGGCAGAGGGTCATCGTAATGCAAGTGTAACTTCCCCCATCTCTGCTCCACTATGCCTTAGTGCCCTGGCTGGCTGTTCATTCTCCTAGGGCTGATGTGGGCCCACAACTACAGGAACTTGGAAACCTGTTGACCTCAAGTCTCTCCTCCTTTGTACATTCACTTTTGTCACTGGATGGTTTATCAAGGGCAGGGATTTGCCACAATTCTGGAATCTGCTCCATTTTAAGGGATACTCAGTGGTGTGCTATCAAGATTTGTCAACTGCTTGCCTGGTCCTATAAATTTCCTGGGTCACCCTCTGCCAATCTGGGACTTCCTTCTGGAGGCACATAAATATCCCCAAATATTCATGGGGGTCTCAGTGGCCAACCTGTGGGCCATGCACCTAGAGCACTGCTGCTGCAGTGTAACTTGTACATGTCTAGAACACATACTTGTTGAGCTCCCAGAAGAGGATTTGGAGAATTGGACCCAACTCTTACCACTCTTCCTACAACTCTTATAATTTAAGGGCTTATCTACCTGTAGTTGGGTTCATATCAATGCAAACATCACACAAACATCATTTACCCAATTCAACTTTATAGCCCAGCACAATCTTTTAAAAAATTCAGAAAAGCAGTGAATAGTGAATGATTTAATTTGGTTTCCTTGATAAAATATATGAAATTATATTTAAAAATAACATCAACTCTACAAGAATAACTGATTTGGAATATATTCTTCAACTGTATCATAAATGGAATGAATTCATTCAGTAAATATAATAGCAACAACTTAGAAATGGTATCTGACATACAGTTTTGCTAATTACCATGGGTTGGGACATTGCATGCCCTTTGCTCCCCACCCCTCCCCAGGATTTACAGGGATGAGCTTTGAAAAAAAATAGAATGTTTCATTTTAAAATTAAAACCCCCCAAATCTTCTTACAACAGAGCAAAGCAATACTTACATACGCTGTAAAGTCTGATAACAGTGACAGTAATTATACCTTAAATCTGTTGCAGGTTTTGCAGTGGCAATTCATCTGGAAAGCTTCACTAAAGGAACCCTCATCACAAACCCTAACACTGGTGTAACACAGTAGCTCTCTTCAGTGTTTACTCTCACACATACATGTGCAATTAGGTGGGATTTTCCTGTTCCACCACAGCTGTGGATGGAAGCACAGTACTGCAGAGTACTGCAGCCTCACTTGTAGCCTTGTTTGATTACCAGGAAATAAAACATTCCAGTAGCATCTTGGTTCAAAATTAAGAGGAATTCTTTCAGAAAATTAAGATACGAAAAATATTTAAGACACTGTCATCCATGGACAAGGTTAACCACAGTTCTGAGCTTCCCATGTGTACCCTGCAAGGATGAACCCAGAGATCCTCCCACTGCAGCTGGCAGGCTCATGTACTCATGACTGTAAACATGTATGGCCCCCCACCACTGAGGAAAGATCTTTGTTTGAAAATACTCTGCCCTCAGGACAAAAAGATAAAAGGCTTATGACAAGACATAGATACACTCTTCAATGGCCAAACAGGCTTCTGAGTTTACCTTTGAAAGAGTTAATTCCTCCATTTCTGTGATGCAGATTGCAGGCATTTACTAGTGAACCGATGTCTGCTTTTTTAACATCATTAAGGGAATGACATAACTAATAGTATGAACAACACTTGATTAAAAAATACTGAGTTAGCAAAACACAAAAGCATATTCATGCTCTGGAATGTAAGAACAGTCCTAGTGGGCTGTTGTGCTTAATGGGAAGCTTGTTCAGAAATGTTTTGTCAGTAAAATCCCTAAAACACCAGATTTTACTGACTAGTGTCCCCAGTCCATGGGTTGTGATCAGCAGGTCACTCAAAAGCATTTGTAATATCCTCAGCCATAGGTAATTTTAAGAAAAAGCAGAGCAAATCAAGGGTCTCATTGAGATGCCATTGGGTTAGAGACAATCCAAAGCAGACACACGGATTGGTTTGCTACACCATTTTTATCACCTCTGAATGCCTTGGATACTATGGTGATGGGAAATACGTAAGTGCCTGGAGAGACTGATCAATGAAACTTAGTGTTGCAAAGACAGGACACTGTTTCAGAAGAAAAACATCTCAGAACAAGAAAATTCACAGGACAGGAGATGAAATCAATGGCATAGGAAAAAGCCAGCATGAGTTATTCTCTCTCTACATGAGTAAGCCTCTCTTCCTCCTCTGCATCTACATGTTCTGCATCTATTCCCTTTTTGTGACTAAAACAAATGTGTTTAAATATATATTGCTAGTCCTCTATTAAATCTCATTTTGTGATGAGGGCTTTTTTCTATTCAAGCTAACCTGCTGCTGGATTATGTAAATTCAGCTCACTACCACTGGCATGTGCAGTAGTCTGTAAAAAGTTTTCTGGTGACAGATACAGACAAAGAAGGAGATTTTCAAGGCACAAAGGGAGGTCTGAACCCAACCTGCCTTCACAGGTGAGAAGAGCTCAGTGTTTAAGTGCAGCGTGAACTTTCAACTTTCTTTGGAGATTTTGCTGAAATCTGACACAAATTCAACACTTTCTTTGCCATGCTGAAGCTTTCCCTTTAATCTGGGAGTATGACAATATGGCATTACATTCTATAGTACTCAATAACAATTTATTTATGCTTTTGAGCCATTTCAGGTGACAAAACATACAGCATATGCTACATGACTTTGGGAGAGAGGGATATTGCATCTAAGTACATTAGGGTCAAGCCATGCTCTTACTGAGATGGCCGCAAAATATCCACACACCGCTAAGGCATTTGAAACACTGCTTATCTGGGAAGCCCACACACAAACTAAATTTGATGCAGTGGTTTACAGCAAAAGCTGGAAGAGCTTGATCCACTGATTCCAAGGATATCCAATTATTGGAAGTGTTTTGCTTAGGCTTCTAAACTATTAAGTCCAGTAATAGATGCAGATGTCAGTTTATTGTCATACAACAAGTATTCTACAGGAAGGGTTAAAAATACTAGGCTGGAGTGAGATCTGGAAAAGAAAACAAAATATTTCAAAAAGGCAGCATTTTCTATCTTTTATTTCTATCTTTTCTTCCCACCAATCTGTCTGCTACTGGTTTCAGAAGCTAAAGAGAGGGATAAAAGAAGAAGAATTTAAACAATAAAGAACTGTCTTTTCACCTTTTGACTGTATTTTACTCTGCAGGGAATAAATATGGCTTGTATTTGTGACAGGCTTTTTCACAATGCATTTCATTGCTTGTTTTAAATGAACATACAAATGTAACTTAGTGTGAGACTGAGCTAATACTGTACCATCAGTATTGTGAAAAATGGCTGTGCAATGTGCTATTTTTTTTAACAGAACATACACTTGCAGTAATTCACCGTGAGCCAGACACTGCCAGCCTTCCCCTGCCCCTAGCAGCTCAGTGAGCTGGCTGAGTAAATATGTCTGAAAGCACTTCCACACCAGTGCAAGCCAGATTTTAACTTCAGTAATTAACTATCATCTTCCTAAAGGCTTGAAGCATTCACAGTGAGTGCACAACAACTCACATCAGGAACATTAACTGGATAAACTAAAGGAAAACAAGAGAAGATGCAAGCTGAATGATATTTTGCCCCCAAGGAGAGAAGCAGTTTCTGAAGTTTAGGGTCACATCCTCTGCAACCCCCTCTCTCCCCGCAGGCATGAATGCTGGATGCACGCTGGCACTTAACAGCTGGTGCTCCTGATTAGCAGATCTCAAGGGGTTAAAGTGTTTGCCCTTAGACAGTTGTGTAAGTGGAGTATCCAGCATGTCATAAAAACATGGGTAAATTCCCCTTTTCTCCTGCAATAAATAACAACCCAGCCTAATTCTGCTGCAATAGGCTCCATGAGGTGACCAGCAGCTCACAATATTTAAAATCACCATTAATTACCTAATGTTACTTTTATGACTATAATAATGAAAGCTTCCCTCTTTTCTCATTCCCCTAGACATGGCAGGGGTCCTATTTTGCTAAGCACAAGACACATGAGAAATACTCTGTGGAGGATGGTCCCTTCCACATTGTAACAGTACTGCTGTCACTATGATGGCACAGAAATATGACAATGTTTGTCAAGAGGAGTAAAATCTTTAAATGTATCAGCTGGGAAGAAAAAATGAAGGCATATAATTAAAAAGTTTT